AACAGCCCAGTTTATAGACTGAGACAGACTAGGAAGAAGGAAGAGGCCATCCACTTCTGAAAGAATTGGCCAGGGAAAACCTTATGAATAGCAAAGAAAGGCATTTGGCTGCTAACCAGAAAGTCAATGGTTCAAACCCACCAGCTGCTGCACAGGAGGAAGATGAGGCAGTATACTTCTATAAAGATTTACACCCTTGGAAACCCAATGGGGGTCGCTCTGAGTTGGAATCAACTCAATGGTAGTGTGTTTGGCTTGCTTTTTGTTTATGGTGAATAGTAAATGGGGTTTAAAAACTTGTGAGCAGCCATTTAACATGTAAGTGTTGATCATTCCCCACCAGTGCAAAGAAGAGTGAAGAAAATCAAATTTTCAAGGAAACAATTAGTCCAAAGGACTAACGGGCCACATGAGCCATAGCCTCCACTAACCTGAGACAAGAACTAGATGGTGCCCTGACACCACTGCCAACCACTCTGGACAGAGTGGGAGAAAAATTTAGAATAACATTCAAAATCATAAAAAAAAGACCAGACTTATTGCTCTGACAGGGACTGGTGGAAACCCTGAGACTATGGCCCTTCAACACCCTTCAAACCTTAAATTTAACTCAGCCCTTGGTATCACCTTTCAGCAAAACAATAGACAGGCCTATAAAGTGAAAAATAACAGCCATACACCTAAGAAGAGTCAACCATATGAAACCAAAACAGCAGCACTTGTCCAAAAACAAAATTTAGAAGCAAGGATGGGGCAGGAAAGAAGGACAAATGAATCTAGGAGCCAGGGAGGAAGTGGAAAGGGTGCTGTTACATTGAGGAGATTGATTGATGTCATGGAACAAAATGTGTATAAATTGTTGAATGGAAAACTAATTTCTTCTGTAAACTTTCACCCAAACCACAACAAATTTAATAAATAAATAAAAAGTTATATGTTGGATAATAAGGATAAGTGAAGCATAGATTTTAGTTTTAAGAGAAGAATTAAACTTCCATACAAAGAAGAAAATTCAGTTAGGATTTTATCTATTCTTCTATACTCTATAGTTTATATCACATATACCACCATTACCACTCTTCCATGAATTTGTATGATGTGATTCTTTGGCATTGAACTTAGAATTTGGCATAGAACTTAGAACTTAGATCAGAACTTGGAATTCATCTTATATTCTTATATCTTTAGGATAATAATAGCTGGCAAGTTTTATACCTGAATTGCATTTTTTTTATTATGCAATTTCTGAATATGATTGGAAGTAGATCAAATAGATATACTAATAAAGGAATCTTGCTTTCAGAAAATACATGGTGATGGTCTGATGGCATACAATACTGACTGCAAACTCATTTTATCAGGATAGTCTTTAATTTTAACTTCCATATTATGAGAAATGCTTTACAAGATTATTTTTAGACATCTTCAATTATTATAATTATCATTATTATCAACTGTCAGCTAGGAAATTTATCATATCTATAACCTTAATTAATTTCAAGAATATTTACCTCCTAAGACATTCTCTGCATCAGTGCTAATACCATAAAGTATTATGGTCCAGAAGGCTGGTGGTTTGAACCACCAGCTACACCTCAGAAGGAAAGTTGGGCAATCTACTTCCATAGTGATACTGCCTCAGAAACCCAAGGAGGGGTCGCTATGAGTCAGATCCAACTCAATGACAGTGAGTTTTAGAGTTAGAAAACTTGACAGACTACATACAGTCTTTGATACATCCACTTTCCTAAATTATACAATTCCCTGACCTATCTGAAAATAATATGGTTAACTAGCATAATCTATATGTTTTAACATATATCCATGCACACCCTACATAAAGATGAGATTAATTTCCTCTTGTTAATAGGCTGAAATACATGATTCTGGCTTTTCTAGATAAAGACCTTTAATAAAAGGATATATAGTTTCTATATAAACATGTATTTGATGTCTATGGTCTGTCTTCAGAACACTCATAATAGCCTCTGATATCTTGGATATGAGAGAGATCGCATCAAATTATGACTTTTTATTACTATTTATAGTTCTTGTTTGTCTTAAAAGAAAATAATTAGACATGATGAAAATTTTATGTCTTTGATGTTTTTACTTATAGGGATATCCAGGTCCTCCTGGGATTCCAGGACCTGTGGGTTCACTAGGATTACCTGTAAGTACTGAAAAGACCTTATGATTTCTTCTAGAATGTCCTTTTAAAGTATAAACCCATCACTTCCTTTTTGTTGTATTTTTCATTTCATGCAAAGTAAGTTGTGTGTAAAGTGATGGAATATTTCATGGTGTCTTGAACTTACTCACCTCTGCTTGCTGTATTATTTATTGCTACCTTCTTATAGTGGTCAGTACAGCCAGTTTTAATTCTGAAGCCTAAAACTAAAAACTTCAAATTGTAAAACTTTGTTTTAAAAAACCACATATAAGAAAATAGGATCAGTAATAAAGATTAGAAACAAGAGCATCTGGATAAACATAAATTACAAATATAAATTCCAACTTATTTTTCTTAGAAATTCTCAAATAACCAGATAAAATTCATAGAAAATATACCTTTATTAAATAAAATTGAATTTTAAAAAAGACTCCATTTGATATGGAACGATAATGAAATCTTACAACTAAAGTGATAACTTTTGCCTATTATAATTAGACAGTTATTGTGATCCTAAGTATGAAAAATGTCAGCCTTTTGACCCCCTGAGCAGAACCAGTCTTCTCAGAAATTGTTTATGCTAAGTTTTATGAAACTTCTGTTTTGGTGGTAAGCCTGATTTTCTAATATATTCACAGACGTGTTGTTGGCTTCTAAAATTAGGAAACCTGATTGAAGGCATAATTGTCTATCTCTTTGTTCACATAAAACAGTAAATGAATAAATTTCAAATCCTATGAAGGTGCACTTATTTTTTATTTACCTAACCAAAAGCTCTGGTCGTGTAGTGCCTAAGGCACTTGACTGCTAATCAGAAGACTGGCGGTTCAAACCCACCAGCCACTCCTTGGAAGAAAGATGGAGCAATCCACTTCCGTAGTGATACTGCCTCAGAAACCCAAGGAGGGGTTGCTATGAGTCGGATCCGACTCAACGACACAAAACAACAACAACAATCAAAAAACAAACTCACTGCGATCTAGTCAGATCCAACTTATAGCGACCCCTCCTTGGGTTTCTGAGGTGGTATCATTACAGAAGCAGATTGCTTTAGCTACCTAATGTTACATAAATATATCAATTTTGTTTTCCTATTGAGTTTTTTATTAAAGTCTATAAGCAAAAAAATAATAATTTGTTAGTATTCACTTAATAAATAGCAACATATTCTTCATTTTGAGCTATTTTATGGCACGTTAAATTTAGAATGTTTTGTGGTACTTTTCATGATGTCAGAAAAAAAAATCTATTTTTATGTGGCAGGATGTCATAAATATCTAGAATAACCAGTGAAGTATCTCGTAGCAATAGCCATTGCTTATTCAGTAGGCTGGGGTGATTAGACTGGTCTGACTGGCTAAATGGGTGTCTCCATCCTCCACCGTCCTCCATCCTCCACCGTCACCCCAAATTCCCCATGAACATGACTTGGTCAATGAATATTAAAAGATTCTGATTCTTCGGTTGGGGGGTAAACACAGAGAAATGACATTTCACCAAATAACAGAATAAATACATCAAAAATAGAATACTGAGGGAGCAAGAGAGGTGTGGTTTTTTTGTTTGATGATTAATTTTCTTTTTCTTTTTTCTTTTGTAATTGTGATTTGGGTGGAAGTTTGCAAAGCAAATTCATTTTCCATACAGCAGTTCATACACATTTTGTTTCATGACATTGACTGCAATCCCTACAATGTAACAGCTTTCTTCCCATTTCCTCCCCTTGAGTACTTTTTCCCTGTTTCCTTCTTTCCTATGCATTCCTGCCCTTTGAGCTATCTCCCTGTGCAAATACTGCCCTGCTATTCTCCCATGATTAGTTGTTGTTCTATGGAGTGTATCTTCTTGGTGTAAATATTCAGCCTATATGCCTATTATTTGGTTGGAAGCCACAGGAGTGAGTCCAATTCCAGGTCTGAAGGGTAACTAGGGGCCATTGTCTCAAGGGATTCACCAGGCTCTATCAGACCAGTAAACCTGGTCTTTTTTTTTTTTTATGATTTTGAGTTTTGTTCCATGTTGTTCTCCCACTCTATCCAGATCTCTTGCACTGATCCCTTTCTAAGTGGTTGACAGTGATAAAGTGTATTTTTAAGAGACAAATCAATTTTATTTGTAAAATCCTCAAAGATAATTACATGTCATAAGAAAGACTGTGATTAACATTCCTTTAATTCTATAACTGACTGACTTAAAATTTTTGAACATGTAGGGTCATGTGGGAGCGAGAGGATCACCTGGGAGTCAAGGTCCTAAAGGAAGAAGAGTAAGTAATCTAATGAAAGAAGTACATTAACCTGAAGGGGGAAAAAAAAAAAGCCTTCATACAAAATTGTAAGTGTTCAGCAAAAATAATACCATAAATTCTAGTATTGTGCTTGAATGTTATTGTTTTTTTTCTCCTTTCTATTTATTATATTAAACTATCTACATTAATTGTAATGTGACTCAACAGTTTGTACTTATAAAACCATATTTTTTCCATTTTATTTTCCACTAATTTTCACTAATTTATATAGAATTCTTCTTTCTTATTTCCAACTTCCAGTTTCATTCTCTGGGGTAATTATGAATGTGAAAATATTAAATAGATTAATTTTCTGCTCATATATACTGAACATCATAATAAAATAATATCAATAAGAAATAAGGTGAGAAGACACAGGATTATTGAAAAAAAAAGAAAGAAAGAAAGAAACAGGAAGTTTGCTGTTGTTAGGTACCATCAAGTTGGTTCTGACCCATAGTGACACTCTATACAATAAAATGAAACACTGCCCAGTCCTGCACCATCCTCACAATCAGTACTATGTTTGAGATCATTGTTGGAGCCACTGTGTCAATCCATCTAGTTAAGGATCTTCTTTTTCACTGTCCATCTACTTTACCAAGCATGATGTCATTGATGTCCTTCTCCAGGGACTGGTCCCCCCTGATAACATGTTCAAAGTAAGTGAGATGAAGTCTCACCATGCTTACTACTGAGGAGCATTCTGGCTGTACTCCTTCTAACACAGATTTTTTTCTTTCTTTCTTTCTTTTTTTTTGTTTTTGTTTTTGTTTTTCTGGAAGTTCATGATATGTTCAGTATTCTTCACTAACACAGTAATTCAAAGGCATCAAGTCTTCTTCAGTCTCCCTTATTAATTGTCCAGCTTTCACATGTATATGAGGCAGTTGAAAATACAATGGTTTGACTCAAGCATAACTTAATCCTCAAAGTGATATCTTTGCTTTTGAACACTTTGAAGACGTCTTTTGCAGCAAAATGCTCAAAGAAATATGTCCTTTGGTTTCTTTACTACTTCTTCCATAGGCATTGATTGTGGATCCAAGTACAATTAAATCCTTGACAATTTCAATATTTGTTCCCTTTATTTTAATGTTCCTTATTGGTCCAGTTGTGAGGATTTTTATTTTCTTTATGTTGAGGTATAATCCAGACTGAAGACTGTAATCTTTGATCCTCAGCAGTAAGTGTTTCAAGTACTCTTGCTGTCAGAAAGCAAAGTTGTATCATCTGCACATTGCAGGTTGTTAATGAGCCTTCCTCCGATTCTGTTGCTATACTCTTCTTCATATAATACAGCTTCTCAAATTATTTGCTTCACATTAGATTGAATAAATACAGTGAAAGGATACAACTCTGATGCACATATCCCTGATTTTAAACCATTACAACTGCCTCTTAGTGTATGTACAGGTTTCCATGAGCACAATTAAGTATTCTGGAATTCCCATTCTTTACAGTGTTATCCAAATTTCTTGTCATAGACCAATGAGCTCTTCCAGCATTGCATCCATTTGTTGAAACACATCAATAAGTATTCTATCAATTCCTAGAGCCTTGTTTTTTGCCAATGCTTCAGTGAAGCTTGGACTTCTTCCTATTGTATCAGTTATTCTTGATCATATTCTGCCTCCTGAAATGGTTGAAGACTGACCAATTCTTTTTGTCACAGTGACTGTGTATTCCTTCCGTCTTCTTTTGATCCTTCCTGCATTGTTCAATATTTTCCCCACCGTATCCTTCAGTATTTCAACTTGAGGCTTGAATTTATTTTTCAGGTCTTTCAGCTTTAGAAAGGCTAAGTATTTTCTTCTCTTTTGGTTTTCTGACTCCAGACTTTAACTCCTCATTACATTATAATAATTTACTTTTATCTTCTCAAGCTTCCCTCTGAACTCTTTTGTTCAGTTTCTCTTCATTTCTTCCACTCATTTTAGCTACTTTGTTCAGAGTCTCTTATGATGTTCATTTTGGTCTTTTCTTTCTCTCCTTT